CCAAGTTGGAATTTGTTGGCCCTGCCACGACACCTGCGAGACGTGCGCTGGCGCTGGACCCGATAGCTGTCTCACCTGTGCCCCGGCCCATCTGCACGTCATCGATCTCGCGGTCTGCCTGCAATTTTGCCCGGACGGGTATTTTGAAAGTAATAACCGATACATTTTAGAGCTAATTAATTTGTTATATTCCTTTACATGCCCTTTCAAATTCACATTTTTGGTCAAATGTTGGTAGTACGAAAGAGATTAAGTCGATTTTGTTAGTTTAGTTTAGTACATTATTAATCTTTTTTCTTCCAATTCCTTTTACAGATAGCAGGAACAGAACCTGCGTTCCCTGCGAACCCAACTGTGCCTCGTGCCAGGACCATCCCGAGTACTGCACTAGCTGTGATCACCACTTGGTCATGCATGAGCACAAATGCTACTCGGCTTGTCCCTTGGACACGTACGAAACGGAGGATAACAAGTGAGTAATTAGCTTGATTTCGAAGATAACAAACTCTGAAACCAACGCTATCGCCAGATGTGCCTTCTGCCACTCGACTTGTGCCACCTGCAACGGCCCCACGGACCAAAACTGCATCACGTGCCGCTCGAGTCGATATGCCTGGCAAAACAAATGCCTTATTAGCTGTCCGGACGGATTCTACGCCGACAAAAAACGGCTGGAGTGCATGCCCTGCCAGGAGGGATGTAAGACTTGCACCAGCAACGGAGTCTGCTCCGAGTGCCTTCAAAACTGGACGCTGAACAAAAGAGACAAGTGCATCGTGGCCGGAAGCGAGAGCTGCAGTGAATGTAAGCGACCCGAAAGGATGTACTAAATGCATTTTTTTCTGTTACTATATCAGTGTGATAATTGGAACCAGAAATTCCAATCTTTTATATATATAAATGAAAAGACCATTGAATTGGAAAAGGTTTTTAGTTGTATTAATGAATGTATATAACAGGGCTTCCAAGACAAAGGCAATATTTAGTCTTATCAAATATTAGACGATAAAATATCAAATTTAAATTAAATGATTGAACGTTGTTAGATTCTCAGTTCGTAGTTTTTGTATATGGGCTTAATTCTATCATTTTAAGTCGGTACCTGCTGTCGAGCCAGTTGTAAAATTGATTTCCTTTAATTGGATTAAGACTGTCTTCCATACAAAATCTCAAATTAAATTTCATCTTATTTTTCTTCTCCTATAGCTGAGTTCTTTAGCCTTATTGAGGGACATTGCAGCTTGTGCCACGAATCGTGCGGGAGCTGCAACGGCCCGGCGGAAACAAACTGCATGTCCTGCCCACCTAGTCGGCTGCTAGAACAGAGTCGGTGCGTGAGCGGCTGCCGGGACGGCTTCTTCATGGAGGCGGGCTCCGTCTGCTCCCCATGCTTGCATACATGCAGCCAGTGCGTCTCCCGGACGAACTGCAGCAACTGCTCAAAGGGTCTGGAGCTGCAAAACGGCGAATGCCGCACCACCTGTGCCGATGGGTAAGCTAATCCGTACATGTCCCCCAATTCAAATTTGATTTATCCCATGTGATTGTGTCATTCTAGTTACTACAGCGATCGCGGCATCTGCGCCAAGTGTTATTTAAGCTGCCACACCTGCAGCGGGCCGAGGCGTAACCAGTGCGTCCAGTGCCCGACTGGATGGAAATTGGCCGCCGGCGAGTGTCATCCAGAGTGTCCCGAGGGCTTCTATAAGTCGGACTTCGGATGCCAGAAATGCCATCATTATTGCAAGACGTGCAATGGTATGACCTACTGCCCTACTGCTGTTTACTGGCATGGTAGTTAATGTGTTTCATTGTTTTTCTATTAAGATGCTGGCCCGTTGGCGTGCACTTCGTGCCCGCCGCACTCGATGCTCGACGGAGGTCTGTGCATGGAGTGTCTGAGCTCACAGTATTATGATACAACAACGGCAACCTGTAAAAATTGCCACGACTCGTGTCGCTCCTGCTTTGGACCCGGCCAGTTCTCCTGCAAAGCCTGCGCCTCTCCGCTCCACTTGGACCAGCTGAACAGCCAGTGTGTGTCGTGCTGTCAGAACCAGACGCTCGCCGAAAAGACCTCGTCAGCACCCTGCTGCAACTGCGACGGAGAAACTGGTGAGAATTACATCTATCCTTCAAATAAGCCCATTCATTGTTCGAAGTTAGTTTAAGGTCTGCCTTAGCTTCTATAGCCTACCTCGTTAAACAGACTAGCTATTATTATATAATAATAATACTTTTTTAATGTAAATATAGCACTATTTTTATAGATATAGTAAAAACTTCTGAGGTCGAGAAAATTAATAAGAAATATTTTTTGCATAAATGGATTTTACTTAATACGGTCAGATAAACCATTTGTATTAATTTTATTAACCAGAATGACCACACAATTTGGTTTAGACATGAGTGTCTGTTTCTGTGTACTCAATTTAAAAGCTAGGACAAGAAACAATTATAGCCTACAGCTCTCCACACGAAATGTATTAACTATATCTGCAGGGGTACATAAACTTCAGATTGTCTAGTCATGTTCCTTTTCTCGTCTAGATCCAATCTTAATCTTGCGTCAATTTTTCCTTCCAGGCGAGTGCAAGGCTACCTCAACAGGCGGCAAGCGCCGTACTGTTATCGGCAGCGGCAGTGCGTCGTTCAAAAGCAGTCCCGCTGAGCACGGAGCATTCGAGGGCAATGGCAATGGCGGGGGGGAGTTTGTTCTGCGACTGGACTCCCCGTTGACGGCAATCACGGCTATTGCTGTGGCCATCTGCCTCTTGATCATCACGATATTCTCTATCATCTTTGCTGTTTTACAGGTTAGAAACAAAGGTTTAGTCCCAGTTCTACTGGCAATTTCAATTTCATTTCCAATTTGTTCTTTCGTTACAATTCAAAACTTACATTTATCGCGCAAGTTACGTTTTAAATTCTGATAATTAACAGTTCAAGCATTCTTAATAGGTAATTATTTAAATTATTAAGCGTCATAATTAACAGTTTAAGTATTCTTGTGACGCTTAATAATTTAAACAATTACTTAACTGATTATTAACCTTTGCACTAAAAGCCTTAGAAAATAATTGACTGTATTGCTTTGATTTATACTAATCGTTGAATCGTCTCAATATTAAGCAAAAAAATGATTTTATTTTAATGTATTTAAAAGTGAACAAAAAATTGTTTCTTTTAAACCAAAAACCATAAAAATCAATTTTTAAATCTGCTGAATTTAAAAAAATTAATGATTTTTAATGTCTATTTTTTCTGCAGCGTAATAGCAACCATGTATCTAGAAATTCAGTACGGTATAGAAAAATAGCGAACACGTCGTCGAGCAGACGAAAGAACATGTCCGCCAAGCCCACCAGCGATGCACGATTCATTTTTAACATTGGCGAGGACGAAGATACAGATGGGGATAATTCCTTTGATGAACTGGACGATAACGTGGGCACAGATATAAACAGGATAGTCTACGACCGCAAAGGCAAAGATCATGGACACGAATTTTACATTGAGAGTACAAATGATATTGATGCGATCGAGTTTCACTGCAAAGGAGCGCAGAAAGCAGAGTTCCAACCGAGAAGGTGCAATGAGAACGCTGATGATGATATTCTTTCTAACACGAAAACGGAGAGGAATCCGTCAACAAGCCGTACAAACATCCGTAGCTGATTGATTGATCAATGGACAACGCGACAGCGAACATAATTGTACCAACAAGAACTTTGATCTTGGCTTTTTTGCTCTGGACTAGTAAATTGTAACCTTGCTTTGAGGAATATAGCGAATCGAAATATTTAACATCTGAAAATGATAAAAATTTATATGTGATTGTGAATTGTTTTTATATATATATTTGTAAATTTAATGTTTGTATTAAATTTTTATGAAAAATGTTATGTCAAGTTGAATAATGACAATGTCGTTTTTACTGTTCCAGCCTTTTTTAAATAGAAAGGATAGAAATAAAGGTTTGGAGATAACACCAAAATCAAATTTGATCATTTATCGGCAATCCAATCCAGGGAAAACGTTGCATTTGATAAACATTTACACTTAGGCTTAATGTTTTCAGTTTAATATTTTTTTTAAATAAATGCAAACACTTTTAAAGGATCTTGCTTCAGATCCTATTTTGCAATTGTTGTAATCGAATTATTTCTGGCCACACCGCAATGGGAGAGATAGCAATATCAGTCTGCGCTTCTTCACGTAGATCCGCTTATCAAAAAACCAAACATATTTTGTATATTTTATTACAGCTGAAGAACTCGCACTACAGGATTCAAATCTTGTTAGCGGCAGGCCTCCATGGACCTAATGATAAGACTACAAAACAAACATTCAAGCTCCGCTAAATCATTTCATAGATATGAAAAATGCGCCATCGTGGACTTGGCCCCAATTTGCAGTGGAATCTGCATGCTGAATTCTTATACTTCCCGAGATGTCGACGTTCATACTGACGAACGGTCAGACTCGGCTATTGAAACTGATCAAGAATGCAAATAATTCTTAATAATTTAGTTTTTGACTTGCGACCTTTTTTCGTCTTATCGTATAGCTCCGGTGTTCTATTTGCTTTGTTGATTGCGGTTGTGGATCGCCATACAGCCCAAGTTCCTCTAAAGCTAAGCTAAACTATACATTACTAATAAAGCCAAACTACAAATGGGCATTTCCACAAATAGGTCAGCAAGGTCAAGCGACATTAAATTTAAACGCGATTGTTCAAAATTCAAAGCGCGTAAGCCAACGTTAGCGACCCCTTGTAATTCCCAAATACGTACATAAAAGCGGAAATAAAAAACTAAAAAAAAAGTCTTCGCACACTTGATAGCGAAATAATATTTAACAAGATTTTAAGCGTATATGGTAGTTTTTATAGATTTAAGGTAAAATGGAAACGTTTATTTAATTCTTGTACTATATACCTATATGCCTTTTACGCTTTAATGAATAATTGGATCCAAATAGTTAAGTTAAATAGAAAGTACAAGTTTGTAGAAAATGTTTTATTTACAAAAATAGAAAATATCTACATATTCAATATACATATGTGTTGATCACTTATTCAAATTCAAACTAAGAATCAACTACATAAGGCTGTAGTTGGATTTAGATTTCGACGTTTATTCGAATGTTCATAATGTTAGTTCCGTGTAAGTCATTATAAATTCGGGTAATACTTCTGTTTTTCTTCTGTCTTATGTCGGGATACAATGACTATTCTAAGTTATAAAATAAAAATCAAATATATTTTTACATAGGTGGTTGAGAGGTATTTTACATGGACGCGGATTCGTTCGTACGACCCTTTACGATATAGTACAGTCGCAGCACATAAGTGAGTAGTACAAGCATTTCACAACTTTTTCGTCGTCTTCATCACCCTTGCCATTCAATTTAGCCTTGTCATTACTGTAGGCAAAGAGTTTGCCGTCTAGTTGATCGGCTTCCATGCCCTCGACTTTCTTTGACTTTTTCCGCTTATTTTTATGCATCAGTTCATTGCAGTTCCGCTGTTGCACCATTTCGTCGATCCATTCGAAGTCAGTGGCGTTGCCCTGGAACCGTGGGAAACTGGAAATGCTTTCGATAGAATTTATATCCTCCTGTTTAAGTACGATGGAGACAATAAGTTAAATTACTAGATTAGTCCCTTAGTCTCAACAAATTACCTGGTTGTTGTTGTGATTCTTATATCTACTCTTCTGTGGCGTGGTTTGCTGGGAAAGGGAGGCTGGCTGGGATCCCGGCTTGTGGTTGGCCATTGGCGAAGAAGTAGTTGCTACTGAGGCTGTGGTTCCCGATGAGCTGTTTAGCACCACCTCGCTATCGCCTACTGTCAAAGCGGGCACTTTGGGCAAGTCATCAGGGCTCATAAAGTTGTGCTAAAACAAGACAAAGGTTCGACTCAATCGAATTAAAGACCGCACAACTTACCAAGTCCTGTATTACAACGGTGGTAATGACGTTAGGAGAAGTCATGGCTCGCGTAGATGCAGATCCAGTTTCGGAAGTGGGGCTATTCAAAATCGGTGAGTTCATGCTCACAGGTGTGGCTGGCAAAGTGGCAGACTCCGAAGCGATAGCCAAGTCATCAGAGGACGCTACTTCGCTGTTTGCGCCTTGAACCATCGAGCAGGTGGCCACAATGCTCAGTGACGATGAGGGAGTATTGCCTGACAACTCGGGAGAAGGGCTAAAAATAAAAGTGTTGTTTCTTTAGGTTTATTTTTCTCATATCTTTTAGCGTTAAGCGGTATTAAACAAATTGTTAATACATTCGTTTTAATCATAATACATAAATTCGTGGTCGTTCGTGTGAGTGTACTGCTTATCTTAATAGAGCTTTCCACCTTACTTACAAGTCAATCAGTTCGGTCTGTGCCTTGCTGCCTCCCAAAGACCATACTTCGCTTTTTTTTTGAGGACTCGAGTACGATATGTGTTTGTTGGTAGTACTAAATCGGCCCTTGGAATGGGACTTTCGGCCTGGTATCCACAATATGCGCATACCAGAGGATTTGCTTTTCTTTGTTGAGTTGGAAGCCATCTGAAAATCGTACACTAAGTTCAGAAATTAAATGAAAAATATACACATAGCCGACTTGACACATGCTTTTCTTTTTATAAAACACCAACTGTCAAAGAAACTCAGTACTGAATTGCCGAATTGTTGCCAGATGTTCATTAGCAATTAAATTTATAAATTTTTATTATTATAACTTGAAGAACGGATTTAATTCACTTAATAAATCGAAGTGTTGCAAAAAAAGATCGGATTTGTCTATAGGGCAAATTGGCTTTAAGGGGAATAATCCTATTACTTAATAATAATTTCAAAACTTTAAAGGCGTATTGCTCGTCACTTTGTAAATTTGTTTATTCAAAACTCAAAGTACGTGTTCATGTGATAGCTGTATGTATTTCGAGTTTAACAAAAAAAAGAGAGACAACGATTTTAAGTCTCTAACTTCACTTAAATTTATTTCCATTCGAAATCGGATGATTGCAAGTGTATTTAAACAGGTCCAATCAGTTTTAGAAAACAAGTTGCAAGCTAAATACGATCTACTAGGCTTTGAAATGGGAACAAAAGTTGGGCGCCTGACCATATACATATATACTAAAACTATGCTACTCCCGTTTACTGTTTTTAGCAATATTACGCGTCGAAAAGCCATTTTTAGTAAGGCTCCAAATGCTATTATCGATGTCTAGAGGTATTTTTTCATTTTCAGACACAAATTATACTATACGTATTAAATTTAACAAATCTGCTTCGATAATTCTAAGTTATCTTTCTCTTCCTAATATGGATCTAAATGTAAATGTAATCGCATTTCTAAGAGATTTGAGCAAGCAGAATTATTTTGGTTTTATATAATTTTTTTTTCTTTAAAATTTATTTTTTTTATTTTATTTAGCTGTATACTTTTATTTGCTAACAATAAAATAAGTAATATAATAATACAATAAAAATACATACTTTTCTTAATGTATCCGTTTTAATTTTATGGGCTTAGAAATTCAATAATAAAGAGCTTGTTTTTATATTTGCTCACCACTGTATATCCTTTCAGCATATCGAAAATTGATTATTGAATTTCTGCAGATAATTATTTTGAGACCAATGAAATTTACCTAGTTTGACAAAATAGTTTCTATAGAAGCTGTACAAAATAGAGCTACAATCTGAAGAGTTTTTGATCTTGATCTGGACAAGGTGTTATGTTGCTTTTGAACTTGGCTTGTAAATAGCATGTATAATATGTATATAAACACATAGACAATGGTTATCAGCACCTGATTACTAATCAGTGATTAGGGATTAACTTACATACATACCCTCTATATTTATATATTTTTATATCTTATTTTCCTTATTTGTTACTATATACCTACGAAGTTACGAGCTTTCGAAATTGTTAGTGATGGGTGCAGGATTTGCTGACTATATACATACTTTAACCTCTACCCGGCAAAATATTTTCGCGGAATACATATCAACTTTTACTTTTCAAGCAACGGGTATAAAATACTTAATACTTATATATACATATATTTAACATATACATATGGGACATCTTTTCAGATTGATTTATTTTATAGCATACAAGGAGTAAATATTTATCTTACGTACATACATACAACACAGAGATTTCTGGGACAGCACGTAATGTGATAATATCAACTACTTAGAAGAATTAACTGTTGACTTTTGCCTATTGACAAATTGGCTCTCATGAACGAAGACAATATACGGCACAAATACATACATAAGTCGCTCGAAAAGGTATTTTCACAATAGGAATTTGTTGGTGGAATTACGGAATAAATATGCTCATCGCGTTGACGTGAATAATATTAAAAGTGGTTTAACAACTACATACGTAAGATTCAAAACACCACGCATTTAAGCACATATATATATTTACATACATACATACATATATATTTTTTGGTGACAAACAAGTACTAGTACAACAAAATGTCTTCCCTAGGTGTTAGTCATTAAAACAGAGATTAGACTATTTAAAATCACAACAAAACCTGAATCGCTTACCTTTTCTCCTCAGATCTTGACCTTAATATCACAAGGTTTTGTGCAAATAACGCATTTGTGTAAGCCAAGTAGTACGTACATACATAAACATATACTTTCGTATGTAAGAGTGGGTTTTTTGTATAAATCAAATCCGTGATATGGTAGAGATTCGCTGCTCAAAAGTCGCTAACTTCTTTTAAGCTGTGTTTTTTTTCTGCGGGAACTTTACACATGTGGAGGGGGTAGCGAATGTCTATGATAACATTACATTATTTAGTTTTTATTTAAGGACCGAGCGCAGACCATGCTGTATACATATATCGAATAAACAAAAAACTGAACTCAATCAAAACCAGTGTTGGAAAATGCACTACATGTAACGAATAGCTTTCTCTTTGTGACCGATAACACAACACTCCACGGTCTAATGTATTATGTACACTGCCGCATGTGTTATCGAATTCAGTATGGACCCTTAAGCATTTTCAGTGCAAAAATACCAAGATCGGAATGATTTTTTGCACAACCGAGCTGGAAGTAAAATTGATTCCAAAATTGATAACCAAATCCCACAGATCACATGTTGTGAAATGGCTAGAATTATTGACAGATGTGAAACTCGTGCTCCCACCTTGCCACCATCGAGCATCCATCATTCCAAAAAAACCGACAAGAGTCAACAGTAACGTGATCAGAATTTTTTATGGAGGTTTTTAATTGGGCCTTCCAAATTCTCACGTTTCTTACAACTACGCCTCTGGTTCACAGAAATTAAGATGGCCGGCATGTAAATTTAAATTGTTTCGCGCCAAAATTTTTAGGTTCCGGAAAAAAAAAATTTCATGTCCTCCAGCCTTTGTTTGCGAATTATTATTTATGGATGAAATTTATTAAAGATTCATCTATATTTGACTTATTTTTAAATATTTCGTTTCAATACACCATTTATGGTGTAAATGGTATATTTTTATAAAATATTTGCTTTTCCACGGTCACACTTAATATCTAGTTGTTTAGCTTTGCGGAGCTTTGTTTACCTCCATCCGCAATCAAATAATTTATGTAAGAAGCCAACCAGAGTAAACAGTAACTTCCTATTAATAACTCAAACAAGCGGCATAAACCGTAGGAGGGCCTATTTCTTAATGTTTTCTACATCGATCGTAATGCTGCACGTTTGTGGGCATTTGCCCGTTAAGTTTAAAACGCCAACTCCCGGCGGTTTTGATAATGGCATTTTGCTCACACAGGGACGGCAGAGAGAGCCTGGTTCTCTAAAAAATCGGATATTCTAAATATATAACAAGTTCTCGAGAGCAGCAGTAATATACGACCCACCGACCAGGCCCAGTCTCCCAGTGTTCGTGCTGCACTCTGCTATCCGCTATCCGTTGCTCGCGTGTTAGACGTAGGTAATTTGCTGGTTGGTTACTTTTACATATTTCCCCGCGCGTGTACGCAGGATGCTAGCCGATAACTCTCGTTGACGTACCGCAAACGTACATATAGTTTTATTATACGTAAACGCGGCCGTACATATGTACGTACCTGTACCGACAAATATCTTTCAATTTACGCCGGTCAAAAATAGCCAGGAGGCAGGCAGAGCAGCACTTGCCATATAATTTATAGTATATGTATGTTTGTACATATCTACATAATAGACACAGCTGTGGCTAAAATACTAGTACAGTAAATCCGGCTTATCAAATACAAGATTGATTGGGTCTATTAACGGTTCTGATAAAATATTTGTGAGCTTCCAGAATAACAACTGAAAACTCTTGTTCAGAGCTTCATTGCTTTTTCTGCTTAAACAATCTTAATGATTGTATAATCTTTTTGTTTGTAAAGACAATATCGAGTAGACAATTGATTAAAAATGTATACACATTTCAGTTAATGATCAAGAAAGTTATTAAATCGCAAAAAATCTAGGAAACACGTGTACTTTCCGAACAAATAACAAATAATTCCTAAAAAATAAGTGTATTAAGATTATTTTTTTTTGAACTTTTAGAAAAGAAAAAATATAAAATTGCGAAACGCAATTGTTCTTTTGAATCAAACATTTAAAACATAATTGTAAAATGAAGCTTAAGGTATGCATAACATTACCAATTATTACACATTAATGGGCTTTGACCATGTTAAAATGTATTATTAAAATGGAAAATATTTTGTCTTAAAGGCCTTTTAATTACATTTTTTAAATATAGATCAAAACAAGAAAGGAAAGCTAACTTCGGGCGGAGCCGAAGTTGATACACCCTTGCAGAATACTCTGTAAATTATATTCTCCAAAATTATTCATATGATGCATTCTTAATACTCATAAAAAATCCCAACTTCCTAACTTTAAAAACACCAAAGTTATGACATTTCCAATCGTTCAGTTATATGGCAGCTATAGGATATAATCGGCCGATCCTTATGAAATTTGGTAGGTCGGATTGGCTGGCCAAATATAACACCCATAGAAAATGCCGACTTCCTAACTTTACAAACACCAAAGTTATGGCATTTCCGATCAATCAGTTATATGGCAGCTATAGGATATAGTCGGCCGATCCTTATGAAATTCGGCATGTCGGATTGATTAGCCAAATATAAAACCCATAGAAAATCCCAACATTCTAACTTTACAAACACCAAAGTTATGGCATTTCCGATCAATCAGTTATATGGAAGCTATAGGATATAGTCGGCCGATCCTTATGAAATTCGGCATGTCGGATTGATTAGCCAAATACAAAACCCATAGAAAATCCCAACTTCCTAACTTTACAAACACCAAAGTTATGGCATTTCCGATCGTTCAGTTATATGGCAGCTATAGGATATAGTCGGCCGATCCCGGCCGTTCCGACTTATATACTGCGTGCAAAGGAAAGAAGGGTGTGTGCAAAGTTTCAATTCGATATCTTTAAAACTGAGAGACTAGTTCGCGTAGAAACAGACAGACGGACAGACAGACGGACAGACAGACGGACAGACGGACAGACGGACAGACGGACATGGCTATATCAACTCAGGAGGTGATCCTGATCAAGAATATATATACTTTATAGGGTCGGAGATGTCTCCTTCACTGCGTTGCACACTTTTGACCAAAATTATAATACCCTCTGCAAGGGTATAAAAATAATAAATCGAAAGGAGTTGAGTAGGCTTTCTATTGTTCCTGCCTACATGTTTATGTCAAAAATCAGAATTAAATATTCCGGTAGTTTAAATATTCTTTTTGGTTTCAAATGATTTATTTAGGTAAGATAGGTAGATTTATATAAAATGTATATATTTTCCAAAATAAAATGTAGAAGAAAATTTCAAAGAACGCAACAGTTGCTTTCAGGGACACTCCTGAATATTTAAATAATCGCAAATTAAATTTCAGTTAAAATTTGAAATTAAAATCAAGAAAGGACCTGGTATACCTTATACCTTGTGTTCCCATATGGTTTTTTTATGGCAGGGGCGAAAGTAATCATTTATTAACGTAAAAATAAAAATCGTTTTATTTTCCACTGAAAGAATAGAAAATCAATCGAATTGGAAAAAAATATAACTCTAATCACACTTACCCATAAAGTGAATTAAAAATAAAACAAATCTTAAACAGATAATTATTGTTTTCGCTCCATTATTTATGGAGCCAAAAACGCCTTATTTATAGGGTCTGAAACTATTTCTATTCCTTGTTACACACATTGGTTCGAGCCGAAAGAACAATTTAAAAATAAATTACAGAACCGAAGTGCTATTATCCCGACCACCATTGTTAATATAAACAATCTTACGTCTATAAGTACATATACATGTGTCAGGCCCGACCCGGCGCGCTTCTTTTAACAGCCCTCATGGTGAAATTTATTTTTGGAGGTGCGGCAAAAACAGCGCAATTTTTATTCGGATTTGTTCTATGTTTCGTCTGCATGAACACACAATCTGACAACTTCTACATCACATCTTCTGCGTGCACTGTCTGCAGTTCAAACAGCATTTGAAAATAAACCCGCCAATTCGTCAATATTCGCATCTGCAATCTCGGGAATGTAAGAGTGTCTTGAGATCCTGTTACACACTCTCGTGGGTATCATCCCAAAAATTACAAAAGAATATCAACAACCAGAACTTGTACTTTTCAGTTATGTAACATTTAGGCCAGATTTGTATGGAATTTTGCAGTTTAAAATCTACTTTTAGCTTTAGCTTGCAATGAAGACGAGAAAATGACCATTACTTCATTACAAAATTTCGAATATACAATTAATTTGGGTTTAAGATTGTTGCAATAGGATTATGGATAGAATTTAGTATTTAGTATAAAACGGAGATAAATTAAACTGCAACGGTAACCCAATCAACGGTAACCATTACAGTTGTTAATACAATTTTGGCTGTCACTATTTATTAATATAACATTTAGCCTTTCATAAAATACATATGTAAACTTGAACGTAGTCGCTATACAAAATGATAACGATATTAATTTCTTGTAATAGATTTTCATCCGTGAAGGCAGGACACAAGATCCGCTGTGATCATGGACCCCGAAGCATTTTTGGATGTGGCCAACCAGGTCATCAAGCTGAAAATGTTTCCGTTCTTCGACATCGCTCACAGTCTACTTGCCGCGCTGGCCGTGCGTGAGGACTTGGGCGCCAACGCGCAGGCGTTTTCCCGGAAGCACCCGCTGGCCTGCTGGCTCTCCACCATGCTGGTGATCTTCGCCGGCGGCATGGTGGCCAACGGTCTTCTGGGCGAGCCAATTCTGGCTCCCCTGAAGAACACAGGCCAGCTGCTCGTGGGCACAGCTGTGTGGTACGTAAATGCAGTGATCGGTGATCCAGGATCAATTCAAACCATTCTCAATCCTCGCGCAGGTACGTGGTCTTCTACACGCCGTTCGACATCGGCTACAAGGTGGCCAAGTTCCTGCCCGTCAAGATAGTCGCCAGTGCCATGAAGGAGATCTACCGGGCAAAAAAGGTCTACGACGGAGTCGGACATGCGGCCAAGTTGTATCCGAACGCCTGGATAATCATGATCATCATTGGCACTCTGAAGGGCAACGGAGCGGGATTCACCAAGCTGATCGAGCGCCTCATCCGGGGAGCATGGACTCCGACAGCCATGGAATTCATGCAGCCATCCTTGTGAGTATTACGGCATATCCGCGTGATCGTTGCCATCCTGACTTGACCAATCCTGTTCGTACCCCCAGCTACACCAAGGCTTCCTTGCTGGCCTCGATCATCTTTGTGCTGGACAAGAAGACCGACTGGATCTCAGCACCACATGCACTGGTTTACTTCGGCATCGTCATATTCCTGGTTTACTTTAAGCTGTCTTCCATCCTGCTGGGCATCCACGACCCCTTCTTGCCGCTCGAGAACCTTTGTTGCGCCATCTTCTTCGGCGGAATTTGGGACAGCCTGGCCAAGATCCTGGGCCGCGGGCAGGCCAAGGACGGCGACAGCAAAGATGTTAAAAAGAACAACTAAACTATTTGTAGTCAGCCCCAAAAGTACTTAACGCTGCCAACCAAAGCTAACGCCTTAACGCACACATAGACATAACATAACATAACTACTGACGTCGAACGATCTTCTACTGCGGTTCGATTCGATTCGATTCGGAAGCGCAAGCCAAAGACATTTTGTGAGGCGTGAAAATTACTCTTGAGGAACAGCACTTGGTGGGTGTGCCAGCTGTTCCTCGACTCCGATTTCACGCCGAGTGTTAGCCCTCAAAAATTTGTATTGTTTTACAATTGGTAGGATTTACGAACAGCAGAAACCACAGACTTATTTAGATGCCATATTTAAGAGTTCTTATCTTGGCCAATACAGCTTATCTATAACTAATACGACAGCCAAAAACGATTTTAGTCAGTAACCTAAAGAAGCAGCTGCAAAAGCGGCCTGCTTAACGAACGAAATGTGTAAATATTGGAGGTGCAAAACAAGTGTGGATTGATGCCTCACACTGAAGTCGTTTCATTGCTTTTTTTTTTAATACATTTTAAGAGTTTTTGCCGAAGACCCATTCGAAAACTGAATGATAGATCAATAATTGAAGATTGTAAACACGTATTCAAGCTGAACTTAAGGCTATTGTAAGAGGTGTGAATGTTTATTGTTTGCAATAAAATTAAACTATGATTTTGATTGATTGTCTTGTTTGCATGAATGGGGAACAATAGCTATGAGCAGAACAGTCTTAGCTAATGCCCCTGAATTGTTACAAAATTGTTTTTCAAGGAAAGGGATTTTGTGTTTTTTGTAAGACATCAATTATTTGCATTCTTTATAAAATTGCAAGTATAACATCAATCACGAAATGTAGCGGTAATTAAATGGAAATATCAAAAATTTAGGTTATAATGATGTATGTAAATCTGAAGAGGGAAATCATAACAGTTTGTTATTTCTCTGGTTTTCTCCTTTTTTTGCCAAAAGAAATAAAAGACCTTTTCAGAAATATACAAAAAATTGTATCCTAATGCCTACATTGTACAATTAATTTATTTTTTCTATTGTCACATTCTTATTTTACAATTATATTTCTTATTTAGCATTAATGAATCAGATGTTTTGCTTTTTTAGGATTCTCACCAATTACAGATTTTTAAGCCTAATTTTTTCCTGAGAAATATTAGGGGTTACATGGATTTTGAATAAAATAAAAACTATTTTTTTTTAATTAGTTAAATATGCCTCGATCGGATTAATGCCTTATTATTATTTTAATCGTGCTTTTCTCATAACTATTAGCCGGAGGACACTTTCAATCAAAAAGATTTAAACCAATTTTATTAAATTCTTTAAACATATTTAAGATTACATCACTAATTGAACAAAGGATTTTATAATCTTAGCTAACTTTCAAAATGAAAAAATCAGACAAATTAATGGGTAAACTTGTCCTTTGTTCATTAAATTTTTATAGATTGGTAAAATCCATCACCAGTTATGAAATCCACCGGATGGTTTTTGTATTTTTTTTGTAGACTTGGGAAATAATGGGCAAATTTGGAAATACAAATTACTTTAAGACCAAATTGGCTTAACATCAATTTGGATTTTAATTATTTTTTAAAAAACGATTGGAAGTGCTGGTTTTCGGCCCGCGATTTCCATGTTACCACTTAAGTTTTGTAGATTCGAAGATATTAAATTGGTGATGAACAATAATTAAAAGAAAATTTAAGAATTAAATATAATTTAGGTATTTTTTTAACGCTTTGAAGCCGCACCTTTTATAGGTTTGGGCAATCAACCAATTGCAAATGGTGTCTCAAGATGAATTAAATTTGATGTAAGAGACTCTGACTAAGCGCGTTTTAATATCTCATTATACCCTTGCAGAGGTATTGTAGTTTAAGTCAAAATATTGCAGTGGAGAAGGCATTTTTGAGCCCATAAAGTATATATATTTTTTATCAGCAACCACAGGAGGGTCGATCTAGCATTCCTTTCTGTCCGCTTCTACGCAAACAGTCTCTTAGTTTTAAAGCTATGTAATGCACATTAAAAGTCTTCTTTCTATTGCAGGTATAAGTCGAAATTATATTAGAAGTCTAGATTATTAGACATAAAAATATCAAACAGTTTCAGTTTAAATTTAAAAAAAAATCGGACGACATATACATTTAACTGATATGAGAAAGATCAAAAGCAGATCGAAAAATCGACTTATGTTTATTCAAACGCATAAAAATCGAAATATAGTCGTTTTATAGAATATTTAATTTTTTTGAAGGCTGCAAGGGTATGTAAACTTCGGCATGCCTAAGTTAGCTTTCTTTGTTGTTTCTTAGATTGTTTTCTTGTCAGGGCTCTTATAATTTTGTATATATTTTTGTATAAATCTTTTGGGTTCAATTAAGATCATTGCCCGAGGCAGAAAGACACACGGCGCACGTCTAAAAACCCTCAATAGTTCTTAATTTGCAATTTCTAGAAAAACTATTTTTTCAAAATGAAACATTTTTGGAGACCTTTGAACGGAAGTCGCCTTAAAACACTTTTTGACATTACATTCTATACAGTCGTGTAATGCGCCTTACAGTGAACTGAAATATATAGAAAATCGAAGGTGGTTAGGAAGGAATAAACGAACAAGTGGTCTACCAAAAGCTTACCAATAAACTCGGACACAGGATCGTTGTCGCCCTCGCCGCGCATTGTGCCTGTGATCTCCTCGTTTTCAACCATTGGCAGGAAAAGTTGCACGAACTCCGGCGAATATGGGTGTGTGATGGTCTCGAGCACCTCGGTGACAAAATACCGGATTAAGGAAATGTCTGTGTCCTCTATGGCACAGCATTGCTTAATGTATCGGAGAACGGGAACAACGCAGCCGCGTGTTAGCAAGTTAACCATCCGGTCCAAGATCATCTTCTTCATCTCTAGTTGCACGAGAATCTCCAACTCATCCTGCTTGGACTCGAACAGGCGAATGAGCAGGAATAGGATCTGCTGCTGCAGGGTGGGATGCACGGCCGCCACCTCGTCGAGGACCGCCAAGTGCGTGGGACAGCTGTCGGTGGAAAGCTTAAAGTAGGACGGCTCCATTACCACGTTTTCGATCCACCGAATCACACCAACGCCCACCACTGGATATCTGAATGCAAAAACAAAGTACACATTTGAGCGATGCAGTTACGGACTTTAGAGTGTCTGCATACTCACTTGATACAATTGTACAGCGTCTGCAACTCGGCGATCAGCTCTGTGGAACCCTGGTCCACGTTGCAGATGGTGTGAGCCTTTTCGATAGCTTGGATGGTGCTCTTCAGCTCCTCCTTGTTTAGCATGCGTTCAGTCATGGGCCGCTTTTTGGCTGGCTGGTCAATAACCGCTGACGCGTAGGCGAGCAGAAACATGTACTTCGGCTTGTGCTCGGGGTTAATCTTAACACCGGAACGGAAAAGGGCGTCTACTAACAGCTCTAGGAACTGAGGGTTCCGTATTAAGTCGATAGGCGGCGGATCGGATCCAGAGTAGTTCCGGAAAAGCACGGTGATATCAGCGGGGTTCAGTGTGTTGCGGGTGAGCATGGAGGTTAGGGCTTGACATGCCTGTGGGTAGACCGCCGAACCATTTAGGGCCATTGTTATAGGCGTCACATTTTGATTGCTGTACGAAAAAGAAGGCAAATAATCAGTTATGTAAAACAAATAGTTATTTATGGGAAAGTGAAGGTTTTCTTAGGGATGAATTTATTGTGGAAGATTAAAAGTTTAAGGAAAGTACTTTAACAAAATCATTCTATCATCAAAAGTCCGTGGACTGCGTTTAAGAAGAGCAAGAACCCAAAGAATTCCCAATCGATTTTTAAAAAAATTTTTTGGAGCGCACAATATTTTATGTTATATCTGTAAAAACAAATCTGCATCATACTTAACAACTTTATCTTGAAATAATCACAAAAAGGCCTTAATTTTATTCACTTGAGGCCCACGAATTAGTTTAAAATCAAAATTGGCGTACTAAGGAAATGTATTACAATACCTATATCACAAATTAATAGTGCTATCTTGGCATTTGTGCTAGTTAGTAAATGTAAAAACGGAAAACGATCTTAAAAACCATTTACAACATTAAATAAATTATATTTTTGTATATTAAAAAAAACATTTAAATTGACCTGATCGTTCCTATGGCACCTATAGATTTGTTCTATGCTAAATTTTGTATCAGCAGTGCACCCATTATTGATTTGGATAGTTTCAAGAATCTATCTTTTACACAGCGTGAATAATCCGCGTATAACTGTTATATGTCAGATATAGGATAAGATATAGACGTCCGATCTTCGCTTATAACCACACATCTGCTTAATTTACACTTTTCTACACATATTTTGATCACTTCTCTTACTTTTGCAAGGCGTATTTAATGATTTCCTGGGAGAGACGCTTCATATTGAATCCGCCCTTCTGTTCCTGGCTGAGTACCTGGATCAGCACCTGAGAGTAGACGTAGGTGTGCTGGCCGTGGCAGACCATGCGGGCGCACTCTTGAATCGCGCCATGCACGTCGTCCGGATTGTTCAGAAACTTGACAATCGACGTCTTGAGCACCCGCGAAAAGACCTCGATCTGCTGAGCCGCCGTCGAAATGGATGTGATCTCGCTCTGGAATCCCGCGTCCGAGATCAACTTGATCGTAAAGTTGAGCATCAAGCAGTCGGGGTACTCCTCGGCCAGGCGGTAGATCAGTGAGCGCCACGTGTAGTGGTCGATCATCTCTGTGAGCCAGTCAGGCGTCTCACCTTCCTCGGTGAAGATGGTGTCCGCTTTCTTTGGGTCGAAGGACTTCAGTATCATCTCCTTGAGGTGGTTCTCCACCATGGCCTGCACCTCGGTCACCTTGACGCCGGCCAGGATGAGCCACTCGGCGAGCAGGTTGGCCATCTGGGCCACCGCCTTATAGTTCTCCGATAGCATCGATATAACCTCCTCTGGAGAGCCTCCGGACTGGAAATAGCGCTTCAGCTGCGTGAATATGCCCGGCTCCATGATGTAGTCGGGTGTCAGGAACTTCTCCAGGCACTCCTGAATCGTTTTCTGGGGGTTGTCCTCCAGCATTTCCTATAATTGAGACGGGGATAACGAGGATTAGTACGTATCAATTTGTTTATGCCGAGTCTCACTAAACCGCGTCATCGAAACCGGGATAGCCTGCATCGCCGAATTTCCAGTTACCTCCGGGTTTGACTGTGCTTTGGCGCGGCCCTGCCAGCCGGAGTCGTCGTATTCTACTTCCATTTTCACTCAAAAACTTATTTACAATAACATATAATAATATTTTTTTTATTTTGATTAATTCCGTGAGGTTTTAGTGTGGCTGTAAAGTGCAAACTCCAAAATCCCTAAATGAGTATGTTATGCCCCGTACACACCATGATTGCTTCTCTGCTTTATGCCACCAAATTTTTTAGAAAATTTGTACAACGGGACTCGTGGTTTCCTTTCTAAATATTAAATTAAATAATATATTAGGTGATTTTCTGTAAAACAGTGTGTGATATTTTTTATGAAATTTCTCAAATCATTAGACCCAGAGAGACCCATAAATTCAGCATTTTAGGACACGCTCCGTGAACGACGCTACCGTTAATTTATTGTATTGAGCTTAATGTATGAACTGGTTCCGAAGTTGTCCCCATGCCAAGCGATATTCTTTAAAACAGGGAATTTAGTTAGGGATTCATAGCACATTTGACTGTTTCAAAAGCCCAACAGCTCCGCTGGGCTGTGTATAATGCGTGTATAATGTGCATATGTAGGCGGAATTTGGCTATTAATTTAAGGTTCCAGTTCTTGTGGTTCTTTGTAAGGTAGCGATATATATCGGCTGAGAGAAAAGGGATTGAAAGTGTCATCGCTGCCACGGATGGCGGTATTGGTAAACAAATGTCTCGCGGTTGTGAATTTGAAATAAAATTGGCAAAATGTCGAACCAACGGAAGGACATGTGGAAGCTCCTTTACAATCACGTAAACCGAAACGGGAGCAACTTGTCCCGGGTGTACACTGTGATCGAGGAGATCCTGTGCCAGGAGCCGAGCCTGATAAGTTGCTCGTTGGTGCGAGAGCTGCACAACAAATTCCAGGACACGTTCCTGCTTTGGCTGATCAACAAACTGGCCAAGTGCCTGAGTGAGCCCAGAGATGGCAGGTGAGAGCCTCAGTCCAGATTGGCCAAAAGCTATAAGCATAATGCACACCTTTGTTCTGCCGCAGTCAGTGCATCAATCTGCAGAGGAAAATACTCAGCTCCTGCTGTTCCAATCACCCCAAGCTGTACGAGCGTCTGGTGCTGGCCTATGTCGAAGCCCTGGAGGAGACTCACCTGCAGCTGAGTGCCCTTGACTTCAGTCAGGGGTGCGACAAGCATTCGCGCACCATATGCTTGAGCATCTTCCAGTGCGATGTGGCCTGCCTTCAGGAGTTCGATCCGCAGTGCGCGTTCGAGGACATCAAGGTTCCCATTGAGCAGGCGGACGTGTATGCCAAGAGTCTTCTGGAGGTCCTGCAGCATGCGCATCACATCGGATATGCCACGCACGGAGACATATTCTCGGCCAGCCTGCATCAGGCCCTGCTAATCCTGAAGGAGTGCGACATGGACACAAAACTGGCCAGCTTAACCTACTGCCACAATGTCCTGCGGTCGCAGTCGGCCAACAGCTGGCTCACAAATCCGGACGTTGCCCATTATGCGGAGCAGACGCTGGAGGCAACGACAATCATGTGGTCTATGGTTCCCAAGTGGCTGGAGATGAGTTGTATGACGCGCCCGGACCTCAAACGGCTGAATGAAACCACCAAACAACTGTTGCTCGTTCTACAGCAGCGTGGCCGTCCGGCTCTGCAGCTTGGCTATCTCCTTCTAAATGAGATTCTTAGTTTGCCCGCAGGCATTGATCTAGATGATGGCCTATTGGAAACTTTAAGTGACTTTGTCCAAGGCCAGCTAGAGTGTTCGGTAACTTCGCTGGAGCAACTAGTTCACTTGCAGCAGCTTTTGTTAGGCCATTGGAACTCCCATTTACTGCCGATCCTACCTCTCATGGCTGTCAAACAGACTGAGATACGCACAGCCGTGGTGCAAGCCCTGACCCATGGCCTTGTTCAAATAATGGATAAAAAGGAATTATTGCCCAAAAAATGGACGGAATTGGTTGCCATTTTACGTACCTTCAAACAGCTGGAGCAGCGCGTCTTTTCACAGAGCCAGCATAAGATAGCTGAGCACGAAGGCCATATTAATTCCTCAGTATTGGCCAAGTTGCCGCTGCAGTGCGAACTTATAAATGGGACGGACACTAACTGGAATAATCTTGCGATGCAGCTGATCGAGCAGGAGTCAAAATGCCCCCCAGACAAGAGCCACATATACTTGGAAATCTGCTCGCTCCTGATGCAGGTCACCTTTATCAGACACTTCCTGAAGTCGCAAACGCAACACCAGCTGCTGGCAATTCTTCAGCGGCTCATGGAATTATCGTACCTTTGCGCCATTCGCTTGGAGACCCCTTCGAGTGCTCATACTCAAATGCAAAGCTTCTATGCCCAGCAGTACATGAGACTCATTCAATCGGACGAGACACAGGAGGTATTCTGTGACAACCTTCCGCAGTTGTACATAGCAGGATACATAAAGCCGGAGCAGCTGTTGAAAGCCCTGCCCTTTATTGTAAGTCGAAGGGGGCGCGCTCATGTTATCCGATTACTGCTGTGCTCCCAGGCAGGTACTTTAAGTGTCTTTAAAGTCCAGGACCACATTGATTTATACTGCCCGAAATGCAGACCACTGCCTGAGACACTCCCAGGCATTTACCTCGGAAAATGCAAGCAGCAACTGGTAAACCTGGACTTTTCAAGCGCCTCTATCCTGATGATAGCAAATGATTTATTGTTTAATCCCGATTTTGCCTTCATTTCCCACCACTTGAATCTGCTGTGCTTTGAACCCAACGTGATTCTGGGGCTGCTTAAGGAAGCTGAATTACTGCAAAGGGTTAGCGTGAAAGGCTTCCAGCTCCTGGTCCCTGCGATGCGTTCCCTTTCGCCAGATTTCATGGAGAAATTGGCCAACCTGGTCCTTGGTGCTATCAAAGTCATGCTGGACAAACCGGTCCTAGAGCAAAACGTGGTGCAGCAGAGGGGTGTGCTGCACATACTAGTCGCCATTGCCCACACGGAAGTCGATGAAATATGGCTCTTCCACTGGTTCAAAATGACGTTCTTTTTTTTGGTGCACACTCGTTCTCTGGTGGCTCAGGAGGCCATACTGGCGGCCACTGAGATGTGTGCCAACCATGGTCTGCAGACGATCAATCTGTGGAACTGGTACAAGCGCGATGCTCTCGACCTGGCTGTTCGCCTGGCATTGACCGGATATCTTGCGGATGGCGTTCGCTTCACCCGATCCCTAAGGGCGGTGAGTAATTTGACGCCGTATCAACCAACACATTTGACCTCGTCTCTGTTTTCAGCTTACCAAAATGTTGGGATTCACTTGCGTCCAAGAGTTCACCTGCAAATATCATCGTCTTTTGACTGCCATGGTCCTGCCGCACTGCATTATTGAGCCGCGTTCTAAGGGAGTTCTGGTACTGATAGCCAAACAGTTGCGGAAACCCATTGCAACTTTGTTTTCCACCTCTTTTCTGCGGCTCTACACCCACGTCTACCTCACCGAGGAACCGGAGCTGGCCAACAGTTGCATTGAGCTGGTGGTCAGCTGCACCCAGTCTAGCCTGCAGCAGTTAATGAATGCCGATGTGAAGGTTAGCTGCAGTTTTTATTATGTAGGGTATTTTGATTTTGGCTAGAGGTTTGTAACGCCGCTATTTTTCGATCCCATCAAAGCTGTCATATATCTTTCAAATCAACCGTCCGGTTCTTTCAACTTATTCTCGCAGTGTAAAAACTATCAGTACTAAACATTCCCAATTGTGTTTAAGTTTCTAGATCTCGCGGTTGGTACGACTAAATTAGAAACGATCTGGCCAAGTTCAAATATCAAATTTCAGACTATTTAAGCTCCACTTTGTATATTTCACGCAAGCGTATCCGATAATATTATAATTTTTTGTATCCCTAGCAAACGGTGGCTGAACTGCTTATTTATTTCAACCGGAACCCCACGTTCGTGATGCGATCCTTCCAGAGCCTGCTGCAGTTAACGGTCGGTTCCGAGGAGGAACTCTCAAGTCAGACGGCCAACGCGGAGTTTGCCAATTTTATTGCTGAGCGATTCCTGGGTGTGATCACATACTTCGAGAGCTGTCTGAGCGAACCGTCTTTTGAAAAGCCGTTGAAGGAGGAGACTCTGTACAGCTTGGGGCAGATTATGCGATTCGTGGGCTCTCAGCACGTCACGCAGTTTCGGTTCAAGATCATCGCCATGCTGAGCTTTGTGCACACATTGCAGGAGCATCGCCTCCAGCGCATTTGCCTGAAGATCTGGCACATATTCCTGCATGTTGTAAATGTGCAGGAGCTGGGACCGTCGTTGGGACGAATTGTGGCCACCTTGCAGCCGCTGCTGGCGGACAGCGAGAGCGTGAAGCAAGTCAATGACCTGTATGAGTTTATAATCCTGCGCAACGCCTCAATGCTGGGCAGCTTTATGACGGACCTGTACTTCCTGGAGCGCATGGAGAACGTCTCGCCCACCATTCAACGGTGCGTCAGAAGGCACACAGCCCACCTGGACCTGAAGGGATCGGGGGAGGAGGAGGGACAATCATATTCGGCGCCGCAACTGGTCGAACAGTTGCGCTTCCTGCAAAAGCACATCACCGACGAATGCTTGCAGGTGCGCGTGTACGCCCTGCAGCATCTTGGCGAACTGTTTGGGAGGCGACGACCCGAGCTTAACAGCACGATCCTGAATGAACTGCCTCTGGAGCCGCTGCTGGAGCAGATTTTGAACGTCCTGATGGCCGGCTGCCAGCACGATGATCGTCAACTGCAAATGGCCTCGGCCAAGTGCCTCGGGGAACTGGGAGCCATTGATGCCAGCTACCTACTCTCGAACTACAACTTCGCCAGTCCCCAACAGCTGCCGTTAAACATTCTGTCCGACGACTTTGCCGTTTTAGCCCTGACCTCGCTGTGCCGTGGCTATCAGTTCCAGCAGAAGACGAAGCACGTCGACAGCTTCTCGCTGGCCATCCAGGAGACGCTGGCCGTTTGTGGCATCTCGCCCAAGGAGCAGAAGAAGGTACAGCTCTGGCAGTCGCTGCCGGCTCGAATGCGCCAGGTGATGGAGCCCCTACTCCACTCCTGCTACACCAGTTGCCAGCGCCCAAGCACCTGCCTGCAGCAGCCGCTCTTCGGCAGCCACTACTCCCACAACTTTTATGAGGAGTGGGCCTTCCTCTGGGCCAGCCGACTGATCGACTACATCCAATCCGCGGACACGCGCCACCTGCTGAGCTCCTACAAGCCGTGCATCAAGCGGGATGGTAATATGCTAAGCACCTTCTACCCATACATACTCCTGCACGCACTGCTCGAGTGCACGGAGGAGCAGCGAAGCCACATCCAGGAGGAGTTCATGGTCGTCCTGCGCGCCAACGAGGAGAGCTCGAGCTCAGTCAGGAGTCGCCAGGAGCTGGGGGCCATTAAGGAAAACGCCTTCAAGCAATTCGAATCCCGTAAGTACGCCGCGGGCATCAAGCCATCCGTGACTAGCTCTGTTTTGGAGCGCAAGGAGGACTCCAGTCGTGTTCCTCGCCTGGCTGGCAAGTTGTGCGCCGAGCTCCTGGAATTCCTGCAGCGCTGGCTCAGGGAATGGCAGCGAATCCATGGCCGTAGCACCGGCGGAAAGCCGCCGGAAACGATAGATGCTAACTACCGAAAGATCCACGAGTTCCTGAACCAGATACCCAAGCTGTTGGTGTCTCGCGCCAGCTACAATTGTGGCGAGTACGCTCGGGCCCTTAGCTACCTGGAGAGTTATTTGGAGGAGGGCGAGGACAAATCCAAGAGGCTGCTGGAGCAGTTTACGTTCCTGGTGGAGGTGTACGGCTCACTCAGGGACCCCGATTCGGTGGAGGGAGCGGTGCAGGTGCGCAGTTGCGACATGAGCGTCATGCAGGACATCGTCGTTAATCGGTTGGTGGAGCGGCAGCAGGACATGATCACCTCCTACGAGCAGCTGCTCTCCAGCACGGACCAGATGCAGCCGGAGCACGTCCGCGCCATGGTCGACGCCTATTTGAGGGACACTCCGAAGACCGCCCAGCTGATCGCCGACGGGCTCTGGCAGCGGCTGCCTGACCAGTACTCGGAGCAGTGCTTCGCTGAGTGCAAGTCGGAGTTGCTCTGGCGCCTGGGAAGCTACGACGAGCTGGAGGAGATGCAGTCCAACTGGCCGGCTCAGTGCTCCCAGGGCTGTCTGAAGCTGCGCAGGCCACTCACCACGCGCACCGAGTTCAACTCGCAGCTGGACGGGATGCGGGGATCGGTGCTGGAGCAGCTGCGCAGCTGCTCTGCAGTCCAGCAACACTCGTACGCCAATGCCTACGATGCTGTGCTGAAGCTGCACCTGGTCCATGAACTGCAGTGCAGCCAGCAGCTCGTAGAGCAGCTCGAACAGGATCGCGACCGGGACAGTCAGGAGCAGCTCATGAAGAAGTACTTCGAGGACTGGCAGTACCGCCTGCAGGTCATACAGCCGCAAGTACGGGTTCAGGAGTCCATTTACAGCTTCCGCCGGAATCTGCTGGCGGAGCTTCAGCGCCGCCTCTCGGATCGCGACCACCTGCTCCCCCACTTGCAGACGGAACTGGCCAGGATCTGGCTCAACAGCGCGCAAATCAACCGCAACGCTGGCCAACTGCAGCGCGCCCAACTCTACATTCTGAAGGCGGCGGAGTACAAGCCGACGGGCCTCTTCATCGAGCGCGCCAAGCTGCTCTGGCAAAAGGGCGACCAGGTGATGGCCATGAACTACCTGGAGGAGCAGCTGTCCATCATGCGCGTGGCGTGCCACGGCAACGTCAAGCAGCTGGAACCGGAGCAACGCCACCTCTTCTTTCAGGGAAAGTACTTGCAGGCCGTGTACAGCGCCGAGTCAATGCACCTGTGCGCGGATGCCGTCCTCAAGTACTTCGAGGAGGCCATTGCCGTGCACCGCCAGTCGGAGGGCTGCTACGTACAGCTGGCGCAGTTCCTGGAGAAGATGCGCGAGGCCAGGCAGGGCAGTCCGTCGGTGCCCACCGGCGAGTTGGACGACATGCTGATCAATGTGATGGTGAACTATGCGAGGTCCCTGCGCTACGGCAGCGAGCATGTCTACCAGTCTATGCCTCGACTGATCAGCCTTTGGCTGGACACGGCCGAGTCCTCCACGAACTCCGAGCAGGTGAAGAAGATGAACGATCTGCTGACGAACTGCTGCACCGCGTTGCCCACGGCCATGTTCTACACGGTGTACTCCCAGATGCTGAGTCGGCTCTGCCATCCCCTGCCGGAGGTGTTCTCGGTCCTCCGCAACGTGATAATCAAACTGGTGGAGGAGTATCCCCAGCAGTCCCTGTGGATGCTGCTGCCGCACTTCAAGTCGGCCAAGTCGAGCAGGATCAAGCGCTGCAAGCTCGTGCTCACGGACAGCCGCCTGCAGAACTCCGCTTTCCAGAAACTGCTGAACGACTTTAACTCGCTGACGGAGCGCCTCATGGACCTCACCAACAAGGAGGTGGCCCTGGACCGGACATACAAGTTGAGTGACCTGGACACCCGCCTCAGCAAACTGTGCAAACAGCCGGAGTTCTCGAATATACTCCTTCCCTTTGAGAAGTACATGCAACCAACACTGCCGCTCAACTCGGACAGCCACACATCGACGCTGTCGCACATTCCGTCGAGCTCGGCGAAGGCAAACTGGTTTCCCTACCAGCAGATATACATCAGTGGCTTCCAGGAGTCGGTGCTGATCCTGCGCTCGGCGGCGAAGCCCAAGAAGCTGACCATTCGCTGCAGCGATGGCCAGGACTACGATGTTTTGGTCAAGCCCAAGGACGATCTGCGCCGAGACGCTCGTCTGATGGAGTTCAACGGCCTGGTCAAGCGTTATCTGCACCAGAATGCACCTGCCAGACAGCGGCGACTCCACATCCGCACCTACGCCGTGCTGCCGTTCAACGAGGAGTGCGGCCTGGTCGAGTGGCTGCCCAACCTGGCCTCGTACCGCAGCATCTGCATGGGCCTGTACGCTCAGCGCGGCCTGGTGATGTCCAGCCGACAGCTGCACCAGCTGGCCGTGCCCCTGAACGACCCCATCGAGCGCAAGCGGGAGATCTTCACCAAGAAGCTGCTGCCCGCCCATCCGCCGGTCTTCCAGGAGTGGCTGCGCCAGCGATTCGTTACCCTGCACAGTTGGTACGAGGCGAGGAACACCTACATCCGCACCGTGGCCGTCATGTCCATGGTGGGGTACATCCTGGGACTCGGCGACCGGCACGGAGAGAACATCCTGTTCGCCGAGGGCAGCGGCGACGCGGTCCACGTGGACTTCAACTGCCTGTTCAACCAGGGCGAGCTGCTCGCCTACCCCGAGGTGGTCCCCTTCCGGCTCACCCAGAACATGATCGCCGCCATGGGTCCGCTGGGCGTGGAGGGCAGCTACCGCAAGTGCTGCGAGATCACGCTGCGCCTGCTGAAGCAGGAGACCAAGACCCTGATGTCCATGCTGAGGCCCTTCGTCTACGACGTGGGAGCCCAGACCCGAACTGGCGCCGCAACCTCCAAGATTACAAGGGATGTGCAGCGCATCGCCGATCGCCTGCAAGGACACGTAAGCAACTTTTCTCGGTGGTCAGATGTTTTCTCAGAGATTTCAAAATGAATCATTTTATAACTTAGTTGAATAGTCTGTCAGAGGAAAGCAGATATTTGCGAACATTATATTTATGATCATCACCATAATTTGAGCCAATCAAATCGACAGACCTCTGTATCGAATTAAAATCAAGTTCAAAAATAGTTTGGATCAGGCTACAATATCCAATTGATTACATTACAGTTTGAGTTTAAAGTAAAAACAATGAAGTGCAAATGGTAGCGTCTTCATCTACATTTGAAATTTATCAAGAAAACTCTGAACCACGTAAACAACCAATTTAAATGAATTTAACTTATGTTTCACTATCTTTCTACAGGTTAAGCTGCAGCAGGCCAACAGTATTCCTCTTTCGCCCGAGGGACAAGTCAACTTCCTCATCAACGAAGCCACCAAGGTGGACAATTTGGCTGTCATGTACATTGGTTGGGGGGCGTTTCTTTAGTCGTAAGTGTTGCGATCTGTCGAGGGTTCGCAACAAATACTCTTATTTCTACGGATTGTTGTACAAATACTGGTTCCACTCTTGTTTTTTTTGGATGAAACACAAATTTTTGAAGTTAATAAAACCATACTACTTGTAAAAGGAACTAACTGGTGTCTAGTTATGCACCTTAAACTTCACCAAAGACACCGATTTTTACCCCATTTTTAAACTAGATGCTTTTATTAAAGTTCTTAACAAGTTTGTTTGTAACTATTAGCATTTTACCCGGTTTTTGTACTTGTTTTTATTGCTTCTATAAACTCGAGTGGTTAATTTTCGGGATACATTTCTTATGCTGCTGACTTGCCTGCGGGCGGCGTTTTCCTAAACACTTCCTTTGCGACCCTAACGACCAAGTCGGGCAGCAGACAAGCCGCCGAGCAGACTATCGTGAACAGCCACAAGGGGAGCGAGGCCAGGAACTGGTTGTAGACGTCGTAGAGCTCCCCACTCTGGACCAGGTTGTAGAGGTATGTGGTCAACATGAAGGCGGCAATGGAGGCGAAGATCAGGGCGAGGTTCAGATAGGACATGTAGCGAGCCACCAGGAGCAGCTTCAGGTTGCCCACGATCACGATAACAGTGATGAGCATGGTGCCGAAGGTCTGGAAGCTGGCAGGCTGTCCCATGTTGAAGAGGACGTTCTGGTCGTTGAGCACGGCGTAGGTGAAGTAAAAGATTGTGAAGCACTGGACAAACCCGTTGAGGATCCAAAGGCAGAAAACCCCCATCGACGCTTGTCGGTTGTGGGCGATTCGCTTGTATAGCTCCGGATGGCTAAAAATACAAATCGAGAAAATAAGAAATAAGAAAAAGGAATAAGAAATAAGCAGTAAAAATGAGAAAGGCAATTAATTAAGCTTAAATGAGTCTACGCTTGGAGTTATAACTAACTTCATTGATAAGCTCATTATCTGACAGTTGTAGAATTTAGTCGTCTGATGTCAAAAAGTTACCACTCGTAAACAACTAATGATTTAAAGAAAATCTGATGAAAGCTCATTAATATTATTATTATTAACTGTGGTCACCGAGTATAAGATAAAACATGTTTGGTAATTGTTCCACACATATTTATCTTGACCACTAAATGCTTTATAGTTACGACTACTAGAAATGTTGAGTAGGCAGCATTGAGGCTTCCACAATTATCAACGTTTCTACTGATGATTTAGACCAGTCAGTAATACATTAAGGCAATAATCACTAGGGCTAGGTAGCATACTACTTTCACTGACCTGAGCAGCGTCTCCTCGCTGTACTTCTTATCGGAAAAGGCCAGGTATGTGAAGCTGAACGAGATGTAGACCAAGTCGAAGAGCCAGAGGTAGAGCGAATTGTAGACGTTGGTGGCGGAGAAGAGGTTGTACAGCTGGAAGAGTGCCATGCAGCCGGTGATGATGATGTTCTTGTAGCAGTAGAAGAGCACCAGGAACGCCAGCCGCCGTGAGTTGTAGTGCCCGTGGACGAGGAGCAGCCGGCGCAGCATCTCGAAGCGGGCGATGGCGAAGTCGGCACACCGGGCGGCCTGCTTTCCCTCGCGGCCCGCTATCCCGATGCCGATGTGGGCCTCCTGGATCATGGACACGTCGTTGGCCCCGTCGCCGATGGCCGCCGTGATGTGCTTCTTGCGGCGCTTGACCAGCGTCACGATCTCGCTCTTCTGCAGCGGACTCAGCCGGCAGCAGAGTACCGCCCGGCAGCGCAGGGCGAGATCGGCGAACTGACTGGGCGTGTGTGTGAGGAGGGCGGTGATCGACGTCCCGTCCACCACCAGGACCTCCGGATCAGCGGCGTCTATCTCCTGCAGGCGGGCCAGCAGCTCCTCCGGCCCAGTGACGTCGACGATGAAGTGCTGCTTCGATCCCGGCGGGATGTGTCGGCAGGCGAGGCCGATGTTGTAGGCCGTCTCCACTTTGTCCCCGGTGAGCACCCAGATCTTCAGACCAGCCGCTTGCAGAGCCTCCAGGGTCTCGCCCACCTTCTCCTGCAGAGCGTCTTCCAGGGCAGTGGCGCCGAGCAGGTCAAGCTCTGCGAAAGGGACAGTATTTCAGGCGACTTAAGGTGCTCAAAAAATCACATTCTAACTCGATCATATAAGCTATGATCACGAGAACAGAATAATATATATTATTTAAAATTATAAAAATTGAAAATATGTGCTTATCATTCAAAATCATTTTATAAAAAAAGACTCTGGAAACCATGTATTTAAGCTAGCACACTTTTTCTGATGATTAAAAATCAGTAAAATCGTTTTCTAAACTGCATAAATTGTAAACATTTTGATATTAGCAATGATATAATCAAACGAAAACTGCTTTGATTGTGAGTAAAACTCAAAAGATTCAAAAATTTGTGTTTAAATTGGTAAAGATTTAAATAAGACTATCCTTGGCCCTAAGGGAACGAGATCCCTTATATTTTAATGAACTTGTCTGAAACTTAAAGCGCTATTTTTTGATAAATGGTAGTTTAAATTGAAGGCCATGAGTAGAAAGTATAGAAGAATGTAGAAAACGAAGAAATACAAAAGTATTGATCTAGCCATATGTCATTATCTTTAATTGGTAAAATACAACAAAATGGGGATAGATCATTCCCTTTCCATCGGATTGGTAGGTATAAGACAGATATAGGATGTATAAATCCAATTGTAATCAGATTTGAGTTATTGTTTGGAACATTAAATAAAAACATTATGTTAAACAAAATCTGGGAGATATACGTACATTTCTTCACAAACAGTAAATTTTAATAGTTTGACCCCAATGTTCCTATGGCAACTTTAGGATATAGGTGTCCGTTCAGCGGTTTTTAAAAAGTTAATCTGATTACACACATTAAAGAAGATCGCAATAGTTTTAAATATCGTGTCTTTAAATTGACTGCGTTACAAACTTCTGACCAAACTGATAATACTTCTGCAAGGGTATAATTAAAAAACTTAAGAAATTTTGTATTCGGCTTGAAGGACCATAAACAGTTTGTTTTGCTGAAATATACCGTTTCCTGGCCGATACCTGATTAAGCACAGTAGTATTATGCATCAAACTTATATCTTTATGTCCGTCTTATCGCTTTCTTTTATAATTTTTCGACAGTGTGCTTTTGTACGGAATACTTAAAGTTGAGCTTCTGACTGCCCAAATCAACTTGAGTCCTTATTCAAAAGAAGGACTTACCAATCTCAACCGTTTCGTAGCATTCCCTTATTAGTTCATTGCGGTTGCTTAGCTGGGTGTTGGCCCTCCGGTAGAGCACCTCGAAGTTTCCGAACTCTTCCTCGGTCAGGGTGCGTCGGGCCACGGCCAGAGTGCGAAGACCCTTCTGGGCATACTTGGTTATCTGCTCGTCGGCTTGCTTCAGAAGAGGACACGCCTTGCACCGCGGAAAGATGGCATTCTCCGCTCCCTTGGAGTAAAGCCAGATGGTGCCACTCCGATCCCTAAGTACGACGCTCATCCGCTTCCGCTCCGAACTGAACTCCAGGACGTGGAGTCGCTCGAACTGCAGCTCCTCAGCACTTGGATACCGGCAGATGCGCAGGATATTATTGTCTCGTCCTTTGTACAGAAGACCAAGGTTGGCGCAGCCCTCGAGCAGCGCCTTTTCGTCCGGACTGGACGCCTGATACCGGTCCACAATGCTGTTACTCATGAGGTGGCTTCGTTCTGATACGGTCTCTGGCGGCTCCAAAGCCTTTTCCCCCACTTCCTGGAGCACTTCCACGGTGTGACACACGGCCAGCGCCTCGAAGAATACTGTTGCTTCCGTCTGATGTAAAGAGAAACGGAAAACTTGGTTTGAATACTATATTATCACAAGATTTTCAAATGCTTATAATTAAAGTTTCAAAGAAATTGATTCTATCACGATCATATAGTACAGTTCCTTATGGATGGACACATTAATATAGTTTTATGTTTCACTTTGTCGCTTACCAATTAAAAATACTATCTGCCACTTTAAACAAATGAATTAGGAGTGTTAGACATTGTTATTTGAAACCCCATTATCTGATTTAAAAGCAACAAAACCTGATAGTTTATATTATATTAGGATATGGGAAAAATACTTTATCGGGCAGAAATTGTTCCGCCACTGCGCAATGCCTACAATTTCAATAACCTTTTGTTTAAAAATACTTAAATCAGGGACTATACTTAGTTTAAATCCATTTCATTTTTACATAACTGTAGTTAAATAAAATCTGGTGGTCTGAAACTACGATTGCTAACCTAATGAAAATACACATTATTAGTCAGTGGTGCTTCAGACGTACTCACATCTAGCTTTTCCAGGTCAAACTGTTCGCCTGTGGCTTCGCAGAGGAGATGGGTATTCTGCAGTTGAAAATCCTTGTCCGACACAAAGCAATTCACGAACTTCATGAGGTTCTTGGTGAGAGTGCCGGTTTTGTCGGAGAAGAGGATGTTGACCTGGCCCAGCTCCTCGTTCAGATTGGACGCGTTGACTCGGCAAGGCTGGTCGGTGTCCTCGTCGTAGAGCTTCAGGTCGTTGTGCATGAAGTACATCCCAAAGATGCGGTACAGTTCGATGTTCATGTAGGCGGAGATGGGCACCATGTAGTTAAAGAGCAGCAGAAACGAGAGGAAGTCCTCGAAAATTTGCAACGCGGAGTTGAAATTGGTGGGAGGACCCAGATAGGGCATGGTTGGCACAACCTTCGTCTCCTTGTGACTGTAGGAACAAATATGTTTTAAAATAAACACGGAAGAAAGATATAATCCATTGTTTTATGTTATTTTAACAACCATAATCTTTTTTTGTTGCTCAAAATAAAACTCATTTTGAATCTAGGTTTTTTTTTATCGATTTAGAAACAGTAGAAACAAAAATTTTGATTTTCGATTGCAGTTTAACTCTATGATTTTGAAAACAACTCGTAGATGGTATCATTTGTTAAAAGTGCATTCTCGTTTTTAAATGTTTTCATTTCAATCATATTTTTTATCTCCAGTTTTGGCTAAGCGATCGGTCATTGAGAACTCATTTTCTAGAACCTCCTTTAACTTTTCCATAGACCTTATAGAGATTGGTTCTTTAAGATCACGACAGAATTGAAAAAAGCGTTGGTAAATTGAAGAACCGCCACCATAAATTGCACCATCGAAGAAAAACGGAAATAAATTCTATTGTTTTTACTCAAAGGTGGAACTTTAGCCTAAGCCAACAATCTATTAATTTTAACAATCAGCTTTTTTTTAGATCGAATTTTTGTAAATGAGAAAACGACTGTTTAGAAAAATTACACTATGTTGTATGTTGTCAGCGCGAAAATGCATATTAATAGATAGTCTAAAGACGTATCTTGTTTCTTTCTTCTAACTAGCTCTAGCATTATAACGTTTTTACTTTTGCATTTGTAGTAATGGTAATAGTTATTAATCTTGTTGACTATTGTAATATTAGGTTACTCCTTACGACTTATCCCACCAGGCCTAGTCTCAAATTGCTTATATTTTTCATTTCTGATTTGCCTTTTGATCTTGCGACAACATAGATTCCAATATCTTTTGATCGCAAGAATCTATTTACTTTCAAAAAAGCGGCAGACAAAATTATTGATCATCCTGATTTTTTTGTTCTTCAATTGTCGGCTTCTTATGATGGCTAGTTGTATTTATTCTGCCGTTTTATGTAATATTAAATATTTATATTTAATATTATATGCAATATTTGTTTGGTCTAGAGGTGTTACTAAGGGATTAAAAGCAAATGGAGATGGTTTGTTTTGGCAAGGGAGACCAAAGTTTGATATTACTATACTATAATCATGGACTGCACTATAAATGTGGCAGATATAACCAGGGCTGGAACTCCACTCACCGTTCGATGAGGTACAAGACGACCACCACCACCACCATGCCCACGATGAGTGCCACCATGAACCTGTTGATGTACTTCTCACTCGAGGCCGACTTGTTGCCCGTGTAGCGGCTGTTCAGCTGAAGCTTCGTGTGCATTCCGGTGTAGATGGCGCATCCGACCACTCGGTCGGTGCCCTTCACCCGGACTCCGCGCAGCAGGAGGTTCTCGATGGTGAGGGGCAGGGCGTCGCTAGCTCCAGCTCCCAGCTCCAGACGGCCATTGAAGCTGTAGAGATCGCTGGTGGAAGGCTCGCACACGATGAAGTCCTTGCCCGGGAGTCCGTCCTTGGGCGAAAGCACGTAGTTCGGCGGCACGGATATGGTCTTCAGGTTGGTCTCCCCATCCAGATTGGCCGTCGTCACGAAGCATTTGCCATCCGCTCCAGATGATTGGAGCAGCACGAGGTCGCACGGCAAATCGCCATCGTTTCGCACAACCACAAGGTCGCCTGGTACGATAAACTGGGAGTTTATGACCTCTTCTTTTCCATTTCGGATGACAGTGACTGGAAACGGAATGGGTTTGATATATAGAAAACGACATCGGAAGATATCTTCGGCAATCCGAAGTGTTAATGCAAAGTAATACCGTAAACTTATAGGTGATCAATGCCAATCGGCCAGACTTTGGTTCCTATGGCCGCTATATCATGAACATGATCTGTATAGCTTTATACTGCGCGAATGAGGTGCAAAGAACCTTATAGCCAGAATGACTTGATAAAACTCATGGTATTAATACAAAAAGGGTTATTCCCTTTATTCCCTAATATCGTAGTTCACCAAAACATATGCCAACATATTCTTAAAAATAGATATTTACCAAGCTGGAACCAATAGTTTCTATAGGATATAGAATAGGATATACCCGTCCGATCCTTGGCATTTACAAATCTAAACCTGTAATCTGCACAGCGAAATGAACTTGAAATTAACCCCCTGATGCTGATCAGGAATATATGCTTTAGGGTGCCAATGTCTCCTTTACTGAGTTACAAACTTATTATCAAAATTATAAGACCCTTTGGTTGGGTTTTACCCTTTATATATATTACCCTATATATATTCCTGATCAGCAGCATTAGGGAGTAAAAATAGCTATTCAGATATCAGATAAGAGTAATTTCGGTCAAGAGTCAATCTAGCATGTCCGTCTGTCCGTTCGTCTGTCCGTCCGTCCCTAGCTCCCATAAAAAAATCAAAAATTAAAAACAATTTATGTGAAACAACATTTTTATTTTGCTGTTTTTCTATTTATCAAAATATTCCCTCGAGATATAGTTATTATTTACTATATCAGAATTACGCCTTTAGTTTTGTTAAAATTAGACAATAATATCATATATCTGACATAGAAGCGATGGCAAAATGCAGCGCAAAATCGACAGGGCTTCATTGTTTTTAGTAATATAGGCATAGAAATCGAAATGTAGTCGTTTTGTAATAACTGCAAGGGTATTTAAACTTCGGCTTGCCGAAGCAATCTTCTTCTTGTTTTTCCTAAACTATAAAAATAAATTTCGCTGGTCAACTTTCATAAGATAATATATATAATATATAACTCAAATTTATAATTTCTAATATATATAACAATTATTTAAAAGCAATCTTTATTTTCCAATTTTAATGATAAATTCGTTACGGTCTTTGGCTTAATTACATGTGATTTCTTACCTCTGGCTGTGTTTACGAGCTTGTCACTTTTCGACCTCGATAGGTCCTCCAAGCCCTCTTTTAGAGCCGTGATGACCATGACGAACAGCAGGGGAATCAGCGAGACATACGGCGATATGGTTTCATCTGTGTGAATGGTGCGCGGTGAGCATCGACCCTTTGGGGAACAATATCGTTGGGGCAGCCATACTTACTCACGAAGAAGGAAACGATTGTGATGATCAAAAAGTAAAAGTAGACGGCTCGCCGGAACTGCTCGTAGAAGTTGAGGGGCAGGAAGGTGAGCCAAGTGTACTTGGTGGTGGTCACCCGGTTAAGGGGCTGCTTTTGCCGGCCCTCAATGCCGCCGATCTGAATCCGCAAGGGATCGCCCTTCTTCTTCTGGCCCGCTCCCATTGGCACTGCTGTTCAGGACCCTGTCTATAAGGAATACGATCTCTGTAGTTCGCTCAGAAACGCTGGCAGTGGTTCATCGTAGCTGGGAACCGAATGGAGGTGCGCACGCGCGATGCCTTTCGGAGCAAAAGTTAGACTGAATTTCGAAGCGAAATAGCCACATAAATTGGCGTATGATAAAGATAATTTTCCATTTCCGCTTATATAAAGCGATGTTGGTTTTGAGTGGCCCTGTCATAGAGGTATCCCATTAAATGGCTGGACACTAGCTTCGAAATCTCTATTCCGGCGTGGTCGATTAGTCCAACACATGCTCAGATTAGATGCACTCTTCATGTCAGATTAGTGATGAATTTGAATTCCCATGTCTCTAATTCAGCTACTCCTTTTAACTGCCAAAAATTGTAAGATTACTTCACAGCAACAAACAAACCTTTTATATCAGCGCTTACCATTAACTGATTAATACTATCGCCTGTTTAAAATTCCAATATCTAATCCACCTAATACCTGTTTTCACACTTCCCTAATCAACGGTGTAATCAGCACAACACTTCGATTATACCAATGGCACTTGGAGCTGTTTTTAAAAATAAATTAAGGTCTTTGAGTTTTGGACTCCTTGCTTCTGTACACAGAGAAAAACGTATTAATCGACTATCAGATACCCACTACTCATTGCCTTTATTAGAAAAAGAAAAAGGTACGAAGGTGAGAGAGAGTTCATCTATTATCCAATTTCTATCTATTTCTTATTTGTTTTTCAAATTTTCCAGCAGATGTCATAGATGAAATTCTATTCTTATATACCTAGTTATCCGTAGAGAAAGAGGGTATACTGAGTTCGTTAGCACAAGTTTTATACGTAATAAGATACTAATACGTATAATTTACTACTGGGAATAAAATTATATATGTGAACATTTTTTATTATTGACTTTTTAACTACATTTTTTATTTGCTTTTTAAAAATAAATTTAATTTCCATTTTATATTTTGTGCAAAATCTTGAATCGATTTCTTAAATTTTTACTGAAACTTTGCGTACCGTTTCGTAAATAATGCTTTTCGAGTTTTAAAATCCCCAAATCTGTTACGGATATCCCGAGATTGATTTTGGGTTAAACACATTGTTTGGAATAGATTTATTCGAATTCCTAATGGAGACTAGAATTACAGAAATTAAATATATGGAAATTCAACTGAATATCTATAATTACATGTGTCCTAGATGAGAGTGGGGCGAAACAGACCCCTGCGTGATGAAATCACCCACGCATTTTTATTTGCAGCAAATCCCTATAAAAACAAAAGTTTTGAACTTCTGTTTGATTTGTGGCTAAAATATATAATTTAAAGAAAGTGTTATTAATGGTTGCATATTTTTTATTTAACAAAAATTAGTTACAGGAATTATGCGTTTTTCGATGCACCCAGATATACATATATAAGGATATATAATATATATAAAACAAAACAGTATAAGTACTTATTGGAGGACATTCTAAGCCAAGTAAAGTTTAAGGAATTTAGGTTCCTAAAAAGCACCAAAATGCTAGTCAAAAAACACTAGACACTAACTTAGCCGATATTCAATAAGTACACTGTTATACCACACATGTACCGTAATATGAGTTTTAACATTATTCGAAAGCCAAATATTGAGGTTCAAAAATACTTAAAGCCATTCTTCCAACCATTAGTGTAATGTTCCCAAAATTATTATATCACTTGTGGGCTAACACAGTATAATAGATAATGATTTAAAAGTGCACTTTTTTATTTAACGGGGAATTCCTTTTAACCCCTAAGCAAAATATGAAAGCTTCTGGAAATATGTAATACGCCGTGTTGGTGTTGTATATTTTGTTGCACAAGTCTATGTTCACCTACATTTGTAGCTCTATAGCTTAATTAAGTCAATCAATATGTCAAATAAGGGCCATTCAAATTTTGAATTATTCAATATACCTATTTGGAAAGATACATTCTAGGGCACCTATATAATAAAGTCGTTAGATTTTAATAAAATGTAAAAAGGTATGATAAATCGACAGTAAGTTATGCCAACTAATCCAAATAGTCCTATAAGTTGCTTGCATTAAAATTGACCGAAACTTAATAGTATAAAGCATTTCCACTTTGAAGTCGTATTTGAACATGGACTTAGAGCTATTGGCACCAGAATAACAGTTTAGAGTAACTCTTCTGTAAGCCATTCTTGCCTAATTTCCCTTTCTTCACTATGTTGATTATGAGTTAAAATCATTTCGTCCTAAGATATCACGCCGTACACTGTCCTTTGTTTTGGCCATTGTCCTTATTGCAACTGCCTGCTTCACTTAAGTCGCTTTTGTTGGTGGGAGGTATTTTTCAGGTCCGACTATTAAATTATTGTATTAAACAATTTAATTATTGTATTAAACAATTTAATATGTTTACTTACGTGTCGGGATGGCAAGTATAGGAATTCCGCTAAAATATTTTCATGAATCCCATTTAAAACAAACTTAAAATGCTAAAATCACGGAATAATAATAAAAATCCATTTGTTGTTAAGGCTGAAACTGCTTTAGAAATTAATAATTCAATTTGATGGCATATTCTAAAAGTCTGGAGTGTTGACCTGTTCTCCAATTTGTTTGAAATCCCAGCACTGACTCACATCGGTCATGTGTACATATCTATAAGGGCAAAGGTTGAACTTCTGCCCACTTATTTGCTAATAGTCACCACCTTTGATTCATACCAGCAGGCGGATATGGTCTGGCCAGCGTCAATGGAGACCACGGACACCACGGACTCCGTCGACATGTTTACCCGGATGAGTGAGTGGAGGTGGCAGTTCAGCCAGATTGGTTTGTCCGTAAGCCCGCCGAGCGTGTGTGTGGTGCGTCCGTTCAATGCTGAACGATAAGATATTGTTATCGACACTATCTCCCCGACAAATGCGAGAGCCCCTTCCGAGAGCCCCAGGTGGAGCCTCCGAGAGAGTGGCTCCGGGTGCTCCAACTACTCCGAGTACTCCGACTAGTGGGAGGATCGTATTCGCCAGCGGTAATGCCAATTATTGGAGAGTGCGATGCACTTGGCATGCACGTATTTAGGGATATCTCCGAGTTGGTAAGACCTGGTAGTCTGGGCGTGGAGAGGGTATGGTATGGCATGGCTCTTTATATGACTGTGGGAATGGGAATGGGTAGGGGTAGGGGTATGGGTATGGGTATGGGTTGGGGTTTGGCATATATGTAAGAGCATGCATGAAAGGTCCGTCAGGCTAGCCCATATGTATGGCGGCTTTGTTAGTGGTATCGGTATCAACAATTCTTCGACAGTTTGCCGATAGATCAGTTTGCGCGTGGAAGGTCTCTCTTTCCTTCGTTCAGTGTGCAATAATACAAGGCTTTATGTGTATGTGATCCATAGCGGTCTAATATATATTATTCGGCCAATAAAGTTTGCTCTTTGTTTACCGGTTTGTTTGGCAAGGATCTCGGGTGCAATCAGAGCGCGGAAAGACATCTCAGTACTTCAACTATTCAAACACAGTCCGGTCGCCAGAAATATGGTATGTCCACCCATCGACCAGATATCACATATCCAACACTTCCTCGGGGCTAAGATCCACCTTCATTCATTTCAACATTTGCACATACTGCGTAAAATTAGCATAATCTAAGGTGATTCATGGATCGCATGTGATAGTACAATGAAAAGGAATTATTGGAAATTAATTAATTTTTTTTTTTTTTTTTTTTGAGTTTTGTCGGAAATTAATTAAATTATATTATTATATGTTCCGTAAATATCGGAATTAAAGCAATTAAAATTAGGAATCAATTTAAATGTATAAAGATTATGAATGGAATGGACGAAATCCTGCATATCTGGCGAAATAAATACGGAGAACCGTTTATCAACTACATTTGCACCCAGAAAAAGCTCTTTCAATTGTGAAATCAAGGCAATAAAGCGGTTTTGATAGTGCCTGGGCCCCTGGGTCTTTGGAGTGCTCGGTGATGAATGTGGGGAAACAGAAACGCTTCTCTGGCTCTCTGGAACTCATCGGAATTCGTGGACTGCGAACTGCGGGGAGATGCAAAATTGAGAAGAGAAATAGCCCTATCATGGTGAGGAAAGGATAGATACTGGCTTTGATTAGGCCAAATGGGCTGCCCAACCCTTTCGGAAACATGCGATGGCCGTGGTCTTTCCAATTGTCGCTCAAATGCTCTCCGGCACCGTCGATTAGTCAGCTGAGGTGCCCAGCACTTAGATATTTCCATAATCTAATCAGTTTTTTGGCAGTTTACATATATCAGATAGATATGGGTGGGTTTCGCGGCACCAGAGAGCACCACCTGGCTGCGAAGAGACGCACTGGGAGATCGAGACTGAGGACATGGGATTATAGACCCGGTTCTCTTGCACGGAACTCAGTGTGGGAAGTGCGGTTTGGGAGGCGGAAGGTCTGTGATTGTGCACGTTGTTCGCTGTAAACAAGAGGCGAACCCGAGTTCGACACCGCTCCTGCTTTTGCCCTTTTTTATTGTGCGTTAATGGAAGAAAACAAGTTACGTCGTCTGATAACCGATGTGTAACGTGGAGTGATAACATTTGTGCACCCTCATTGCTGCATTTAGTGGCCATTGAGCTACTCGATGGAGCTCTCTTTTCCGACTTCATTGGAGGTCTGTCTTTGGCAAGGGTGTGCGGGATTCGACTGGGGAAACTGATCGGCGAAACCTTACTCATCGAACTCTGACGAAGAGATTACCTGGCTAGTCGGCTATTGGTTTCTAAAAGTTATTCCCGATAAGCGACGCGACGAATTCGTGGTAACGAAGTATTTTAGAGAGATACAGAAATCGGTCAGTTTTAGTTATGCTATTGTTTCGCGTCGGTGCCGCATTGTGCCACACTCCACCGAATATATGAACTTGGAAAGGCTCTACCCTTCGCAGTGGATACAATCAAGGGAGCACCATGGGCAAGTTCTTCGAAAGTCTTCTTCGCAAAAGGGTGAGTTGGGATTCGATTGTATAACTTCGGCAGGAACAAACAATGAACATTATTCGGGTACAAAGCCACAAAAACATGGCTTGTTTTGTGTAATT